CCGCTACTGGAACTATTGTATCATGGCAACTTCATACGGAATGTTTAATGAAAACAGCCTTTATGCCAAAAAGGGAAGGATGCGTGTTTCACTATCTTCACAGCAAAAGAGAGATCACTTTAATTGGTGCAAAGAACATCACAACTGGAGTGATTGCCAGTGGCCCAGTGTTTTCCTTAGTGATGAGACCAGGTTTAGTTTATCAACTGCTTCTAAACATATTTATATCTTCCTTCGAACGTTATGAAACGTGATCGGTTCGGTAATGCTGTTGTCGTAGTATGGTGAGCAATAACGATAGATGGGAGTGCGCTCTTACATATTTCCATCAACGGATTTGTGACTGGCCAGAGGTATCAGGATGAGGTCTCTTAGAACCTTATATAAGCCTTTTTGGAGGTGCTTTCGGATCTGAATAATTATTTACAGAAGATATTGATCGGCCACATCGAACAAATCTCATCCACGAAGCGAATATCGTGGCCAACAAAATCTCTGCACAACTTCTGAGACTACCTTAGAAAAACAGTTGCACAGAGACATCCTCCTCCTAGAGATGCAAATGACCTGAACACCACACTGCTGGAAGGGAACTTAATTCTCCAAAATGTGGTTGACAACGTTATTGCAGGATTGAAAATATGTTGTGATATACGTGTACAAGTCAGAAGAGATCATATTACAAATTAAATTCATATGCCTTATTTTTTCCCCTGAATTCTTCTTATAACATATTAACATTTCTACTGTTTGATGCTAAAGATTTATATCATACACAATGTCCTTAAATTTTTTTGGTTTGTATTCACGTGATATGAGGTTATGTATCATTCTACAGAAATTGAGAAAATTATAGTCAAGAACTTCTGAGACAACTGTGATTTCATGAAAGTAACAGATAATTTTGGACACAAGTGTACTATATGTTCTTATAAGCTAATACATTTAATTGCTTCACAATGAAAGCTCCTCTTGTTAAGCAGTTTATTGCCGTTGCATTTAGAATAAAGAATTCCAAGATTATATTTAATGCTTATGAACGCAGTGTCTCATTCACATACTTATTTTAAATAGCAAATTTGAGAATTCTGGGATTATCCCCTAATGCATTTTTTTACAAAAGCCTGTTCAGTGCTTGAAGAAAAGTATCACTTCCGTTTATCAATTTTAGCCAAAATTAAATATGTTATTCCCACTGATATAAAATTTTCTTAAATACTAAAATTGAAATGTTTTTTATTATACGTTAATATAGTTTTTCATTACAAACTGTTATGGACTGCAAGTAAAGTACCACTTTTGGTTGCCCATTACAGACTATTATAGGCTTCGGATAAAATACCACTTCCAGGTGTTCAGTTTTACCCCAAATCTAATCAATGAATGAAGAATTTATATGAATCAATGAATTTATATGAATGAAGAAAATTTAAATATTGAAAATAAAAATTTCTAAAAGTTTCACTTAAATAAGATGAAAAAATCTTTGTCTACATTCAGATACATAGACATTGCCAAAAAAAAAAAAAAAAAAAAAAAAGCGCTGTGGGGATCCTAATTCATATTCACTGAAAACTCACTATTAAACTTTAAGACTGAAAATTTTACCTACTACCTACATATCCAAATTAGCATGTGGTAAAAATAATTTGATTAACAAAATTTTAAAAAACAAAGTAAAATATATGTCAAAATAATGAAATAATTTTTGTTTTATTAATACTACCATTACTTTTATTCAACATCATATTAAAAGCGAAACAAAATACAGGGTGCTTCCTAAATTTAAAATGAATATCAAACTTAAATTATTTTTATCATATATTGTCAATGATTAGCAAAATAAATATACTTTTAACAATTTACTGAGAATATTTTAAAGTTTCTACCAATGATACATAAATACATTATTAATATTTCTTCTCTATAAGATTAAAACAACAGTTCTATTGCTCACTTTCTTCATTCTTTTTTTAATATGTTTTTGTTTGCAGTTTTTAGTTACATTACACCCCTCCCTCCACAAAAAAAAAAAAAAAAAAAAAAAAAAAAAAACTGAATCAAAACTTGAATCATGATCCAAACAAGGCAATTAAAAGATTTAATGGGGGGAACCCTCTTCAGTTTTTGTTTCATAATTTTAAAATATTCAAATTATTATTCTCGATATATTTGCCGCCCAAAGGGTATAATGGTTAGGAAGCCTGACTGCGTTACCAAAGGGCCTGGGTTCGAATTCTGGAGAAGGCATGGTTGTAACTGTCCGTCCCCTTCATAGGAGGTGATGGTGGCCCACCTATTAGGTGCCTCCATAATATAGAGACTACCACTTCTGGCCTTGTAAATAGATTAATGGACTGTGTTATACTGCAACTGTTCAGGGAAAAAAAAAATAATCTAGATATATTCAATTCAGATATTAAGCATGCAGTTTTATAACACTACTTTTTGAACTCCATATTATTGTAAATTTAACCTTCAGTTTGTTAATGTTAATTTAGTATTCTCTTTTTAAAGTTTCTAGTAATTTGCCTTTGCATTAATTCAAACAGATTTTGATGCTTTCTGCATTACATAGGTCTGTTCCTGCTAAATATTCCCCTGGCTGCTTTAAATAAAACTTTAAATATATCAAAAGTCAGGTCAAACTGATAATAAGAGCAGAAGAATTTACATCATTAATATGCTAAATCACAATCATATAGATGAAGATGGATGTCTTGCTTTACATTCATTAATTAAGCATCATAAGAATAACAGGTGTAGTTATTGATTAAATACACTTGAAGCTACATAGTAAGAGTTTTAGATGAAATTTTAGCCAAAAATATAACTTGAACTAACTTCATTAATACTAATTTCTCATTTAACATTTGGTCCATTTTAAAGGAACTGCATCACAGAAAAATGCTTATAATTTTGCTAATAGAAAGTGAATTTAAAAATGGTTTGCCAGATAATGTAAAAAAGAACATATGTTTGGTTTTTAAAAAGTTATGAGCTTTTTTGTTTTTTTTTTTTTTAAACTGGGAGATGAGATTTTAAGCATTCTTTACATTAAAACTCAACTTATATATATAAATAAATATATTTTGAAAGGTTTTTTTTTGGCTTTTTCCCCCCCCCCCCCAACCAGCATAAAACAGTATAAACAAGAAGATATCAAAATATTAAAAAAGTACATGACTATTTAAATAAAATTAAATAAATATATAGAAAAAAAATTGCTATTTGTACATTTCTTCACTTATTGGATTTTATTTTGCATGCAGTTGATAAGTGTACAAAAAGCTTGAAATTCTGCAATCAATTATTACAAAATGTTAGAAGTGTATTTTATTCATGACCTAAATGGCATAAAATAATACTTATTGTGAAATTCTATTAAAAATGCAGATAAAATTATAAAGTTCTAGTCTATTTGTGTGTGCTTGGCAACTAGAACTTTAGTGAAAAGTCTAGAGAATATTCACTGGTCTTCGTACAACCATAATTATAAGTCCGAAGAAGGGTTAAAATACCCTTTTATTCACTCAAAGAAATAATGCAGTTGGCCCCTCTTGGGCTTACAGGAAAGCTCCACTTAGGCTTAAGATAAAAATAAGAAACTAAACAAATTCTAACCAGCTAAACTTTAGGAGAAACTGTACAAAAATAACTGAGTTGGCCCGTAACTAATCCTCACCGGCGAATACTAACAGGCACGTAAGATTGTGGCCGAATGTAATATGATAGGCAATGACATGACCTGAAGACACGCTCTCCCGAGAACTTCTGAGCTTTTCTATGAAAGTGACTGAACTTTCCATTAAATATTAGTAGTTCTCCTTTATTTACATAAAAGGTGATACTGAAACCTCATTCTGGCAGAGTGTAGTAGGTGAAAAGCAAGAATTTAAAGGAAAGGGTTTCAAAATTAAAAACTACTATCAGAAAATTAAAACAATCCCTACAAAATGATTCATTATATTTCATTCATGAGCAACACATTTTACAGAATGGAAGTTAAATAAAAATTCTCATGTCTCATCACCTGCCAACAATTTCTAATTTTTATTTGTAGCAGATAAAAATTGACTTAATGAAGACAAGAGTATGCCATAAGGTGTTGAAAATGTTATTTGGATTGGTTTGGTATGTTACATGTCTACAAAGTAATGCAGTTAGTTAATTTATGGTTTAAACAGTATTAAAAAAAAAAAATAATAATAATAAAAAAAATAAATAAAGGTGCATCGCCCAGTTCTCTCAAATAATATTAACAGAGTGCGTAAACCACATTTACCGTCATTTTTACTGAACAAATATGCCAAATTTCAAAACTTGCCAATATATAAATTAAAAAAAAAAAAAAAAAAAAAAAAAAAAAAAAAAAAAATCTGAAATGTTTCAGATTTTAAATTACATCCAAAGGGGCGTTTTTTTAACATTTTGTGTGTTACCTTTCTTTATTAAATATCATGTTCCTCGCACTTAAACCATAAGATCCAGTGCAACAGCAATATCGCAAAATAGTTTTAAAACGAGCATATCTTTAGAATTTCCGATACAGAGACTCACGCGCTGGAGATAAAAATGTTTTTTCTGCACAACGTTGCCATTGCTCGCTTTGAAATCCTTGAGTTTGTTAATCAAAAATTCATCAAAGTTTTAAAAAATAGGAAATCGATCATAAAAAAAAAAATTTCAAATTCAAATTTGATCTTCCACATGCTCATATTCGTTGGAGGATTACGTTATTCAAAATTCGATGACTCTATGTACCGTTGTTTTATCACAATATGAGAAATGTACATACATTTATGCAGATTTTTCATTATTTAATTTCTTCAAATATAATGCAGGACTCTATCATTTTGTGGCAACAGTTTGAAAAGTGAACCGACATTTATGAGTCCGACGCAAAATGCCAAAACGAAACTAATAGTCCTTCGGGATTCAAATCCCTTTGGACTAAAAAGAGAGAGAGAGAGAAAGAAAGAAAATCAAGAAGACAAATATTACATAAGTAACAAATGTTTTATTAACATTTTTTATAATGATATTTGAGCTGTGTTTAAAAAAAAGCTGCAAACAGTATCTTACAGTGAAGTGTGGCTAATGCTACTTTTTATAGTTACAATGTTCAGCTTGATTGAGTCCACATTTCCCTCTGGAGGACAAAAAACATACATAGCAAAATGTACAGGTAATTCGCAAAGTAAAATTTAAGCTGCCCATGGCAGTCCCCTCATGGGCACTGACTAACATTTACAATGCACAATATTTGTTAGGTAAAATGTACATTCTAATACAAAGATTTATACAGCAGACTCACTAGTTAGATTTAAAAAGTAATGGTAAAACTATGTTACATACAGTTTAAAATAGTAGGAAAGTATATCACTTGAAAAATGCATGACTATTTAATATTGCCAATTTGAGATATGGAAACAATATATGACACAGTGGCAAATATTCTGATCATAGAAATTTTTTCAATATGCCAACAAAAAGTCAAAAGGATGTATTTTTTACAAAACCACAATCTTCTAATTAGAATTTCTTAATTTTAGTTTTGAAAAGGTTAACTACAGATTATTATGAGATTCATTCCAAAAATAAGTTTACGGAGGTTATTACTTCCAAATACCAAATGCTGCTTTGACATAATACATCATATACTGAATTCTAAGAAAGATATTTTATTTGGCATGATGACTGATACCTGCTCACATGTGGGTCGCAATTCTCAATACTTAACCTCATAAAATATAGTAGTCTGGACTTTGAGTCACCACTGTGTTACAATGTTTTAATTACCTCTAAAACCTATCAAAAACTGTTTCTTATCAGTGGATAAATGGAATTTCATGTAAAGTAACATCGTGGGTCCCAAAGACCCTTTCATGAATCAAAAGGCAAGGAAATTGATATACACTCTGTCACTCCTGACAATACAATGCAAATATCATGATTTAATGTCCAAGACACCACATTTTACAAGATGGGCACCAAAGAACATGAAAATGTTTGTCATCATGCCAAACTATGTGAAAAAATAAGGTTATCAGTCACAGAATACAGTACACAATATGTCATTTCTATATACATTTTGCTTGAAAAATCCTTATAAACTTATTTTTGGAATGCCTTTTTCAGTTACAATTTCTATGAATAATACTCTTTTATAATGAAGAGATATAATGGCCACATGAAACTAACAAGTTAAATATGATATACTTCTTCTATAAGCTCAAGAAATTCAAATTTCTTGCACATGGATCTTATCAATTTAAGAAATTAAAAAATTCACAAAATTTCTATCAAATGAATTAGCAATAAAATCTATAATATCTTCACTACTTTAGTAGAATTTCAAAGCAAATATTTTCAGCCTAAAGTTGCATAAATAAACATGAATTTTAGATTAAGCAGCTGCAATTCACTTACTATTACCATACATAAGAAAAGGAATTAGCACCTTTCTGTATCAAAAAATAAGGAACCTCTAATCTAATTATATCACGCAAATAAATACTGATAAAAACGCAAAAAATTTCTTACTTAAAATATACAAAAGATCAATCAAACAATTTCTTGCAGTTCACACAAACTTAAATACCCACAGACAAGAAAGAATTTGCTTAGACATACGGCAATATTTTATACCACAATTTTAAATTAAATAAGTACTTCCTAATAACTTCAATTATCTCACAGAATTTAAAAACATAGTTACTATCTTCTAGTAAATACCATTCACTAAAATTGGTTTTCTTTATAGTTTCCCTTTACATCCTAATGATATAATTATACATCAGAAATAAAAGTACACACTAAAATTTTAACAATAGGTTCTCAAATTAATGTTATAATTGATTCCAAATGCTGAACTCCTTTACTGCAAGCTTTTAAAGCACCTTTAACAACAGTTAGGTAATTTTTAATAAAAGCAAACGGGATTAGACGGCATTATAAGATTACATTAAAAAAATATAAGTGCATTTATTTTTTTAACAATAAAAAAACAGCAAAAAATGTTGTAAAATAATAAAATACAAGGGAAATATTTACATTATTACTTAGCTTTGTAGTCAATGTAGTATACCCACAGAATTAACTTAGCAGAGCATATTAAAGTGAGTTTTACACAGCAAGTCACTTTACTTGAAAGTTACTTTTCAGTGAAATAACAGCAACACTTTCTGTATACTTTAAATATTAACTTAAAGTAGTTTCTATAATTATTTCACATTTACTTGATATCTACCAATTAAAAAAAATGAAGTAATTAATATCCTATTCAGTGATAGTAACTTATTATTTAAATGTTATTTCAATATTTATGCAATTTAACTTACTGCTTAAAAATTATAAGAGAAAAATAAATCATGTACATTATGGCACAAAAGACTAAAATTTCACTCTTATTTTTCAGATTTGAAAATAATGCCTGGCAGACTATTAAGATATACAATAAAAATATGATCATTAAAAAATTGCATTGTTTTAGTAGGAAAAAAAATTACACAATTTACATTGCTTATTGTCAATAAAACATATTTGACTCAAAAAATTGCACTAAAAATGAGAAAGACATCAGACTGTTTTAGACCATATATTAAAATTATTTTAAAGAACTAAATATTTCAAAATAATCTCAAGCCAAACTTATTGTTCAAAACAAGTACATAGGCACCAATCATTCATAAGACATATTAACACACTACATAACTTCATGCATATAACTACAAAGCAGTCATCCTTGATTTCGTCAAATAGCAGAAGTTGACATGCTGCCAGATCCCCTAGTTCCATCTCCATCATCAGATGAGAGTGTCTGTAATGGAGTGTTCTTGGAAATAAAATAGGTAGATCCTGTTTGACGACTTCGACTAATGCTTTGGAATAAAACAAGATCGCGATTCCAAGGCTGTACTTTCACACGATAGAATTTTGTTCCTAAAACTAATTTATATCGATTGTTGGGCTAAAAAGAAAAAATTATGAAGAAACTTGTATCATTAATTTATCATTCAAAAGGACATGCAAAACAAAAAAGATGAATGAATATCACAATGAATATGAATGAAAATTTTTGTGATAAATTCTGGCATACTGGGTAAAATTAGGCAAAGGTAGCTTGTTGTACATATAATGCTGTGTACCTTAAATTTTAGCATAAAAATGCTATCATATTATACCATAACAAATAACATTTATGAATTTCTAATAATGAATATCATTCAAGTACATTAACTTTTAACCGATAGCATATGATTCCAGACACACATCAGTTTTTGTAATACAATATCAGATCTCCTCTGATAATTCCTCCTCCCATTTATTAAGAGATACAGGGGAAGTTTAAAAGTTTAAAAGAGATCAGATACATTCTTGATAATACTTCAGGTTCAAATATACAATGACTCAGACACTTGAAGAACAGTTAATAAAACCGTAATAATAAAAATACATGGTGTTACCATGGTATATGTCATTAATTTGTTCCAGATCCTTGGACTTACCAAATGAACTTTTCCAATAAGAAATAAAAAGAAAATAATTAATCCATTCTAATAAAAAAACACCTATTGTTATTATAACACTATTTAAGACTAAAATATAAATGCAAAGGGTGAAATACTGCACATAAATGAAAAATTTACCAAATTTATTTACCTCTTTTCTGTATCTTTGTTACAAATTGATTTACCCCTCCTTCACAATGTTAGCATATTTAACAGTATCTTTGTATTTCAAAACTTTAGATAATGTCAGCTTCAGCATATGATATGCAACAGCCAAGTCCTAAATATGTATGCCATCTTCATACTTTTCAATACTCTCTTTTTTCACCTTCTTGGTGATCATAACAATATTCTTTATAACTTGACTGTTCTCATTAACTTTTTTAACCTTAATTATTAACAAATTTACAAGAAACTGACATGATAAAACACAAAAATCAGTTGAAACTTCAGAGTAAAGCCACTAATTGTTTACTTGAATAGCAGAAACAAGTATACTGATGCTCATGGGTAATCATAACATTGTCTCGAAAAGAGGTACACTGTGTATATAGTAAGTAAAATGTGCAGCCGTGAGTCATCAAATTCAAGCCATATTCCAAATAAATATATACGAAACAAAGATGTTCATGTCCAAACAGCATGTCTATCAAGTTGAACTTATTTTAAAGGAGACTTATACTGAAGTACCACTGTAGTACAATGACCTATATATATAATAAAAACAGCAATGATAATATAGTAGAATGGCTCATAGGTGGTGATAATGATATAGTGCAACACTATAGTAACAACAATGTGCTTGCATAATACTAAGATATAGAAATTACTGGAATTCAAACAAAACATTGCAGAAAAAATCTAAGCAAAAATTTTAATAAAACATAGAAATTTCATACAAAAGTATAAGAAATCGTTCACAACATAATAAAATTTCTCTTCTTATAGTGCACGTTGTTTATTTCAATAGTATCGACAGGCATACTGATGCTCAATGTCTCGAAGGAGGTAAGCAACAGTAGTGCATGCAGCTTTAAGTCATCAGACTCAAGTCATATTTCAAACAACTGCTGTACACCAAACACAATGAACTGCCTACACTATGTGAATTTGCTGATTTACACTGGGGGGGAGGGAAGAAGAAGGAAAAACGGGCAGTTCTATATCTCCTGTTCTACTGGGATGATTGATGAAATTCAAATTGCGTTTTTCATGTCTTGAAAGCGCGACTTGGGATATATATTAGATTTATACATAGCATTGTTCTAATATAGGTATTTTGACACAAAATTGGACTTTTTCTGAAATGGCATGCTAATCCATATTTCGATTGTACGACCCAAATTAGGCCTAAATATTAAATTTTGTAAAATCTGGTGAAATTTTCAGAGAAATTCAAAAATTTATCTTGCCACTTTTCCCCCCCCCCAGTTTGCAACAAGAATAATAATTCACTTGGCACACTTCTTATTTATAGCAACTTATTTTCCTTTCCTTTTTTTGAGCGGAAAAAACATGAGCGGAAAAAACATCATCGTACATACTTTCAAATAATTCTAACAAACTGCCTAAACCACATTTGGCGCTATTATCGTGTCTAACAAATATAACAAACTTCAAAACAAGCCAACATATAAATTCACGCATATCTTAGCAAATTTTTAATAAAAAAACTCTATTTTTTTTGCAGGTATGTTTAAAAATACATCTACTTTAAGTTGATGGTAAAAATTTTATAGGATATAATACAAAAAGTATTTTGAAAAATTAATAAAAATATTTAAAAATAAAAATTTAAAAAAATGTGCAAATTATATTTGGATTAAGCATAAACTTTGAATTCTGAAAGAAGGAATTAGGTAAGTCTAATAAAAAAATCTGATGTGTAAACCACACGACTTCCTTGCACGGAATATTAAATTATACACATTTTTTCTTGCATTTCATTTAAACTTATTGGATTGAATTAAATCTACATCATCAATAGTGCATAAACCACAATAGAATAAATGCAATTTTTAAAATTCACTATATTTGCTTACCATAGCGACAATCTGGCACTAGGTTCACTTAACAGCGTTACATTTTGTGCATATTATAACTCAGAATGCATATAAATTTATATCATTTGAAGAATTATCTAATTGTTGCATCATGTTCTATTCAAATACTAAATTTAATCTAAAACAATGTATAAAATAAATTAAGCAAACAAAACAAACAAACAAAAACAAAACAAAACAAAAAAAACAGTTTTTCACAGACGATTCAGTATTTCTCCTTCAATTAATTCAGTTCTAACTTCCTGACAAGGCAAAAATACATAAAAACTCAAAATGCCTATATTAAAAATTACAAAGTAAGTTTGAAACACTTATTTCCTTGAATAAATTCCAGATTGCATTAAGCATGATTTAATTCGCAATAATAAAACAAGGCATTATCTTTGTTGTTGCAAAGCTTAGTTTCTCTAGATCTGCAACAAATCCGCTCTTTTGCCAAGTTTGAAATGTAAACAATAATGCAAAATTCATTAGGCTTAACTGCACTAAAACAACATTTAAATTGTTGATAACTCCACAAATATTGCATGCAGATTTACTAAAGGTATAAAAACCTTAACCGGAAGATAAGAACAACATAATTCAATCCTAAAGCAAAAATGCACAATTTACAAGCATATAAGAATAAAGAAACTGAGCTCACTGAGCCGAGTAACAAAGTGGATATATAGAGATATACATATATTTATATACTTTTGGTACGGCCGTTTGCAACTAAAATACGAGGTGCACATCTACATGTTATAGCAGTCCTATATACAAAATTTCAACGCTCTGAGGCTATTGTTGAGTTATGCAAGATACGTAAGTAAGCACAGACGCCACAAAAAATCCCCTTCAGAATTCATTTTAAATCAGTTTTATAATCTTTTTGGGAGAAAAGAGCCCTTTATTATGTCCTTATTGTGGATGTCACACAAAAACATCATTAAAATTGCATTGGATAGCGGTCAAAATCCATATTTTCGTTGAAATATGATACCCAAAATTTTTTTGCGTTTACAATACTTCCTTTTTACTTCGTCCAAGGAAGTAAAAAGATATATTAATATTATCAAATTCAATTAACATTGAAGAGCTAAAATTTTGAGAGCTAATTTTTCAAAAACTACCCATATGATTTTTACAAAACTTGGCAATTTGGCATAGCTTGAGTAATAGAATCGAAATATGGTAAATCGGCCCTATTGGCATGTCAATTTCAGAAATTGGCATATCATTTCAGAAAAATCCGATTTTGTGTCAAAATACCTATATTAAAACAATGGTATATAGATCAGTGTTTCTCAGCCACCGGTCCGCAAGAAATGTTTGGCGGTCGACGAAATATCCAGCTATCTGTGCAAAATCCAAAGTGTCATCGGCCAACAAACGATATTACAACAGCACCTACATTACAATAAAATTGATGTGAAAAAATTGTGCCAATGGATCGAATTATTAAACTTAACGGTCTGCGAGAATGTACCGAAATATTTTATCAGTCCTTGGAGTAAATCCAGTTGAGAAACACTGATATATATGAATCTAATACATATCCTAAATCATGCTTTCGAGACATGAAAAATGCAAGTTGAATTTCATCAACTGCCCAGTAGAACGGGAGATATAGAACTGTCCCAACTGTTGTTGTTGAGCAGTGTCCATACTAGATTTTTAATTTAAGCATTTAATTATACACTATACTTATAGGAAGCTTTAGGAACCCCTATATAATTAGGGAATGCTATACTTCAGGTCATCCATAACTCAGGGATTGTCTGGATGTCTCTATGTCCTCATTATTTCCAGTGAAGAACTTTAATATATTTTACTTTAAAATCATTAAACCTTTTCTATAAATAACTGATTAGACATTGAAATAGATCTAAAAAACACATAAATTTATATGTGTGAGTCCACAGGATGCAACTGTACCAACTGCAGACATTGCCAATTGAAAGTTAGGTACACTTAAATCTCAATTTAAGTGTGAAATAATTTACACGAAATAAAGAAATCGCCTTCTGAATATAAATCTGGCACTACGAGCATACACTATAGTGCAGTCTGATAGACCATAACAATTCTTTCAGACAGTTTCACAGAACACGTGACAGATTTCAATGCAGATGCATAACCTTGCAGCCTTATACACCATAATGTTTCCCATTTTCAATTTTAAGGTGGGTGACCGTGCAAAATTTTATTAGAATATCAATTGCAAGACAAAAATATTTCTGAAACCAACAAGCAAGTATATATTTGGCAAATGAAGGTAAAAAAAAAAAAGACTGAGAGATAAGATTAAAAATTATAAAAAATTATTAATATTTCTAGCATAGAAATTTATTTACTCCTACTCAATTTGGCAATTTTGGCTTTAACTCAAATTGCCAGTTTGGCATCATACTTCTTACTTGAGTAAAAGACGAAACACCTTCGCATTTATTAATTATTGCTAATTGAATGGGAGTTGGTTTGCCCTTGAAAGGTCAACCAATTTACGATCAATGACGATAATTGCCTAGTTTATTAATTTTCATTTTAAAAGTTTACATTTCTATTTTTCATGATTTAAATTCAAGTTCCTTTAAAAATATTATTTTCGGAATTAAATTTCAATGCTTCTGGGTTACTTCATTCAGATTCATTCTACTAACTTTATATTAGGAGTTAATATAATCAATATTGCATTAGTAAATAAATTTTAAAAAGCTTTAGTTTACAGTTTAGTTTCAGTTGTAAGGAGAGGTGTACTTCATTCCTCTTTAGTAAAAAATATAGCTGAATTTCACTTTACTAGCAAACGTTTTTATTAAAGTGAATAATGATATTAATAGAAGGTAAATATCCACAAAAATCTGTACTTAACAGAATGTAATTTCTTAATACAGCATGAATAACAAGCAAGATTTATCAAATGAAAAGGATAATTTTTAAAAAATTAATATAAATAAAAAAAATTAACTACCTTTTTAGTGACACAAAATTCTTTATTTACAACTATTCCTAAAGCCCATTTTTCTGATGATTCTGCAGCTAATTAAGCAGGAAAAATAGCAATTATTTTACAGAACTTTTCTTTTTAAACTTGAATTTGTGTCAAGAAGTTTAGAATGAAATTTTACTTACGAATCTTCAGATTAAGAGCCTGTAAGCTATCTTGATGAAGGAAATGAACAAAGCTTCCAAAGTGAAAGACTTTAAAATTTTCGTTCCTTTCTTCATAGCAAAGAAGTACTAAGTCACCAACATTACATCTTCATAAAAAATAAATAAAATAGAGGTCAATTTTACAGTCTAGTTTCAGATTAAATAATTATAATAATTTCACATGATTATGATTAATTTAAACCTAATTTTTTTTAAATTTGACAAAGAATAAAATTATAATGATGGAGATGTATGCTAAACAAGAAAGATGCAGTGATGACTGGTTGATATAGTTTTTATTATTATTATTTTAGCATAGCATTATGAAGTAAGCACATACGGGGGTTGTAAATTAAATAGTGGCAACTTACCTTGAAACTTGCAGAAGGGCGGGCATGCACAAATAGGATATGTTTGGTGAGGAGGCACTGTTGTCGATGTGTAGAGTGCAAAAAACAGTCGATCTGCATAGAAGGGTAGTTGTTGTGTGGTGTTAAAGTGAGGAGTTTCGTTTCCATTGCTCTAAACAATGTTTTCAAAAGAGGTTGCCTGTGGCAAAAATGCAACAGAATGCTATCGAGGATTAGCAGAAGCCTGTGGTGCAAATGCTTTACTGTATAGGACAGTAGCACAATGAGTTCAAGCATTTCGTTCGGGTCGGAATGGGACTGCGGATTTGCAACTCACAGGTTGGCCCTCCATTTCTCAAGAGCAGATTGACATCCTGAGCAGTCTCCTTACGATAAACCGCAATGGACTGTCCGAGAATTATCCTTAGAGGTTGGTCTGAGTCATCAAACGGTGTGGCACATAATGAAGAAATCTCTCAACATGAGGAAAATTGCATCCCGCTGGGTTCCACATCGACTAACCGAAGTACAAAAATGGCACCAGTATGCACTGGCTGGCACCTACTTGGAGAGATACCGCAATGAAGGAGACACATTTCTGCAGCGTATTGTCGCCATTGATGAGACATGGGCACGAGCCTTATAGCCTGAATTAAAGCGTCAATCAAATGAAAGGCATCACCGAGGTTTGCCATATCCATGGAAATTTCGACAGGAACCCAGTCGGGTGAAGGTTATGGCATACGACTGGGATGGTGTGATTCTTACACATGCTGTACCTGAAGGATAAACTGTCAACGCAGATTACTATTGCCAATTTTTACAGCACAATCTACATCCAGCTATGCGGCACAAATGTTCACGTTTATTGCACAACAATTCCTTATCGTATTGCATGACAACGCTTGCTGCCATGTCATAAACAATGTCACTCTCCTTTTGCGACGGTGGCAGTGGGAAATCCTGGAACACCCTCCCTACTCACCCAACATGAGTCCTTGTGACTTTGATCTGTTTCCAAAGTTGAAGGAACCCCTCTGAGGCCACCGATTTCATGACGTTTCATCTGTACTCCATGTAGTAGAGCGCTCGGTCGCTCACATCAACAATCAACACCTTGCCACTGGTCTACAACAGCTTCCCGACATTTGGCAAAAGGTTATAAGCTTTGCTGGTGATTACATAAAAGGAATGTAATGCAATTGTACTTGTAAGTTCATTAAAAATTGATTTATACCTATTTTGCCATTGCTTAATTTACAGCCCTTGTATATAGTTAAACTGGCACAAGATGTCCGCCCGTTATTCAGTAACTAAGAATCTACTTTTTATATGTTTGAACAACATCAGCAAGACAGAGGCAGACTGCACTGTGATGTCAGATTAAGAATGGTGATTTTACTTAAGTCCCAATCACATATGTTTCCACTGCAAGGGAGTGGACGTCGAAAAGGACAGGTTATCATTTTTACCTACTAAACAGACCTGAACACCAAACAGTAATCAATTATCGCTCAGACTGGGATCACGTGATCCTTCAGAAGCAAAACTTTCGCCTGATTGGTTGATCTCTACCCGGGACAGAGATGCAGCCAAAATATTTTTAGTGAGGTTAAAAAAAATCTCACATAGCCGGTACATCGTTTCCACAGCTAGGCGAGACTTTGCATCAGGTGAAGCTGTTTTTTCTAGGAATCTCCCTGGTTAAACCAGTGCTACCAGAATCTTGTTTCTCAGAAAAGACCCGTCTAGCAAGGACCATCGCTAGATGCGATAACCCCTTTAGTTTCTCAAAGATGTACACTACAAAAAAAGGGGGGGACAGTTACATATCTCCTGTTGCGTTTTTCATGTCTCGAAAGTGCGACTTGGGATATATATTAGATTTACATATAGCACTGTACTAATATAGGTATTTTGATGCAAAATCAGACTTTTTTTAAATGACATGGCAATTTTTTCCATATTTTGATTCTATGACTCAAATTATGCCTAAATATTATATTTTGCAAAATCTGGTGCGAAATTTACAAAGAAATTCAAACATTTACGAGGGCCATCCAGGAAGTAGATTACGTTTCCGTCTGTGTCTGCTAGGGGCGGGGCTAGTGCGGCCATCTTGGGGTCAGAGCGTTGCGCAGCTCAGTCTGTATCTAGCCGTGCTAGTGAGAGGTTCGTGCTGTGCTCTGTTCAGATACTGTGACGGTTTGAAATGTCTGCGTTAATTGAAAATCCCGCGAGCTGCGAGGTGCGCTCAGTAATAAGGTTTCTGACTGCAAAAAACTGTAAACCGATAGAAATCTATCGGCAGCTTCGTGAAGTGTATGGGGACAACATTATCACTGAAGGTGGAGTGCGTCAGTGGGTCATAAGATTTCAAAATGGCCGAACCAATGTTCACGACGAAGATCGAAGTGGGAGACCCAGCATAGTGACCGCCGAACTTCTCGAAAAAGTCGATGCTAAAGTCCGTGAAAATCGAAATTTCACAATAACGGAACTTTCTTTGAGTTTTCCACAAATTTCGCGAAGTTTGTTGCACGAAATCATCAGCGAAAAGCTTGGTTACCACAAGTTTTGTGCAAGATGGATTCCAAAAATCTTGACAGAGGACCACAAAAATCAGCGAATGGCTGCAGCGTTGAACTTTTTTGGACGCTTACCATAAGGATGGTGACTCTTTACTCGATCGCATCGTTACTGGTGACGAAACATGGGTGAAACATGTGAACTGTGAAACGAAATTGCAATCAATGCAGTGGGGGCACACAAGTTCTCCCCAAAAACCCAAGAAAATGCATGCAAACAATGTCGGCAAGGAAGATGATGGCGACTGTTTTTTTGGGACAGAAAAGGTGTAATTTTGGTGGACTTCCTGGAAAGAGGCACTACAATAAACTCTCAAAGGTATTGCCAAACTCTCCAAAAACTCAGAAGAGCAATTCAAAACAAGCGCAGAGGAATGTTGAGCTCTAAGATCTTGTTGATTCACGACAACGCCCGGCCCCACACGGCAAATGTCACTCGTAAAGTTCTTGAATCTTTTAAGTGGGAGTTGTTTCCTCATCCGCCGTACAGTCCCGACCTGGCACCGAGCGACTTCCACCTATTCCCAGCAATGAAGAAGTGGCTGGCTATGCAGCGTTTTGATGACGACGCACAGCTGCAAGAAGAGGTAACGAAGTGGTTGAAGGCGCAGGCGGCCGAATTTTTCGACGAAGGAATTTCCAAGCTCGTACATCGCTACGATAAATGCCTTAATTTGTATGGTGACTATGTAGAAAAGTAGTATTTGAGTGTGGCTTTCATCTGTATATAATAAAATTTGTTTCCTATACTTTGTTTATTTTTTTTATTCCAAAACGTAATCTACTTTCTGGATAGCCCTCGTATATTCACACATTTTTTTAGTTTGCGCCAAGACTAATTCACTCGGCGAACTTCTAATTTACAGCAACCTATTTTCCTTTGCCTTTTTGCATTGTGAATGAGCGGGGGGAAAAGGCACATCATTCCTACTTTCAAATAATTTTAAGAAAGTCCGTAAACCAAATTTGATGTTATCATAGCTTTCAATAAATATGCCAAATTTCAAAACATCTCAATACATAAATTCACATACATCTTTTGAAATTTTAAATAAAAAACTCTAATTTTTTGCATGTATGCTTAGAAATACATCTGCTTTAAGATGATATTAAAAATCTTAAAGGTTAAAATACAAAAAATTTTTCGAAAAATTTATAAAAAATACTTCAAAATAAATTATAAAAAATGTGTTAATTATATTTGGATTAAGCTGAAATTTCAAATTCTAGAAGAAGGAATCGGGCAAGTTTAATTAATAAAGAGATATTAATAAACATATATCAACTTCAACTAACATCACAGAGCTAAAATTTTGAGAGCTAATTTTTTAAAAAATTCTCACACGATTTTTACAAAACTTGGCAGTTTGGGCATAATTTGAGTTGTAGAATCGAAATATGGAGTAAAATTGACATGTCATTTCAGAAAAAGTCCCATTTTGTGTCAAAATACTTATATTAGAACAGTGCTCTATATATAAATTTAACACATATCTTAAGTCGTGCTTTCGAGACATGAAAATGCAAGTTGAATTTCGTCAATCGGCCCAGCAGAATGAGAAACATAGAACTGTGCCCTCCCCCCCTTTTTTTTGGCGCAGTGTACATAGTTCCATTTGTTATTACTGATATTTTGGTGTATTTAGTATTATTTGATAAAAGGCAGGGTACTTTTCCGTTTCGCCGGCGCAAATCTCGCCAAGCAGACTTTATTGGCGACAACATACAGTATACACATAAAAAATATTTAAAAAATTTTAATTCTAAGAATTCTCTTTTTGAAGGCATAAACATTTTAATATCGTTTAAAACTTTATAAAAAGCCAATAAATAAAGACAATAAATTTGTAAAAAGACATTAATTTAAGAATTTACTATGCTTTCATGGTTCAACATACTAATTCGCCGGTTCATATCACGTGACCCCAAGCGATCTCATCACACGTAAACTACTCTACAAAAATCTAATGCTCTCAGTAATTATCTACATTAATTTCAAGTTAAATCTTAATTTGGAACACAAGTTTAAATGCAAGAAATATTTCAGTGCGTACGAATAGCTTACTTAGAAATTATGTAAAACTGCAGTGCTTCACTAATGCATTCTCATTAGAATTGATGAATTTAACCCTTGACTTTCCTTTTCTATATTTTCGGCTTCGGGTAAGC